CAAAGATTTCATAATTGTAGATAAACTCAAGAGATTAGAGGTAATAAAATGACCTAGGTCATTAAAAATGGTTGGCCTTGAACATTTTGCCTTTGTCTTAAATACAAGCCACTTAATTAAAAGTTTATAAAGTTTAAGATTTTAATAATGCTGAGTTCAATAATTGGCTCAGAGAATCCCTGAGTTTTATAATTGGCTCTGCAAACTAGTTCTAGCTCACCTCAGACATCACCTTGATGGGATGAGTGGCCTCTGCATGGGTTTCAACAGCTTTTAGTGAAGACTGATGACAGATTGAAGTATGCAAGGAAACAGAATGCATTATCACCCATCTGCATAGGACTGTGATCCACCAATAGCTGGGAAGTAGCAAGAACTCTAGCTGGTATGGACACCTCCCTCGGAAAACCTATATACTCATCACCTACATGTGTAGAGTAGGAATCCTGTATCAGCCATTTTTCATAGGAAGTAGATAGCACATCCAAGTTACCACACAAGGATGAATGTACAAGGAAGAGACTCTTTGTGGCCAAGCATGGGAGACCATAGCCCAGCAGGGCTGCAGCTTTACTAGTTCAGGTCTCCATTAATGTGTTTAGGTCTAAAGATGCCTTCAGGGAATGAGAAGAACCTACCAGAGCCTGGAGATAGAGAAGGCTAGGATACATGACAGGCAATGGTGCCTTTGGCTGCAGCAAAGGATGATGGGAAGAAATTTGACCCAATCTCCTCTTTCCCTCTCCTCTTCCATCCTGGCTTTCTGTTGGCAAAACTCAACCAAAAGCCAGAGTGCAATGGATCCCATCAAGGTCAGCTTCCTGGGGGCATTGAACAGGATGGGAAGAGGTAGAAATGGCATAGTCCTGCAGAGTGAACAGCTACTTAGTTTTTTCTCTTGGGTCTGAAAAAAGTTAAAGAAAACCTGCTTTTGGAACTGCTGCTTGCTCCCTACTGACCCTTGCTAGAGGTAAGGGGCTTCCCCTGCAGGACCAAGATATCTTTTCTGGTCTGACAGAGGCTCCTTGGAGGAGAAAGGGGGTCAGTGTAGCAGACTATACTGTGGTTCTGTGCTCTCCCACCCCTGAACCAAGACCATCAACAGGGACCATGTTCTCTACTCAGCCCTTCTAGTCTCATTGATGTTTGCAGGGCCCTTTTCTGTGGATAGTCATTTTCAGGGAGCCCTGGTCTGGGATCCAAAAAACCCAGGATGGATGTCTGGCTCAGATCCCATTACTAATATGAATTTTCTTTTTTGCAAAAACCAGGGACCAGGAAGAGACTATTGTGATTTTCAAGGACACCTCTGGTGCTCAATGTCTCTTCCAAGAAATCATGAGTTTAATCTCCAGAACATTTGCATAATGCAAAGCACATTTTTCCATAGCCAGAAGGTGGCAGCAAAGTTCTGTTTTGGAGGGGGCTGTGGAAGAGGGTAAGAGACCTCAGGACCTGTGGTAGGGCTCAAAGTTCACCTTCTATACCTAGGTTTTAATGTCAAATAATAATTAATAATAAACAGCAGAACTATCATTATCATTATTGGTAGTCAAATAATAGTGATGATCCCATCTTTATTTGGGACAGGGTTGCACAGTTGGGGAAACCTTTGCACATTGTTGCATAGGAACCTTTTACCAAGCCCATCTCACAGGCAGCTGGTGGATAATTAGACTTTCCAGTCCGTACTGAGACTCAGGGGTGTTTCTTGACTTGCCCACAGCTTTTGGAAAGTAGAGATGTGTTGGGAGAACTCCTAAATTCTCTTGCCTTTGACTTGTGTATTCTCTAGCTTATGGCAGGCTCCCTTCCTCTTCATCTGCCAAAGAAGGACAGTTAGGGAGCCAGAAGGACCCAAAGGCTTAAGACCAGTCTTTGTGGTGCTATATTATGTACCCTAATAAAATTTGACTGAAGATCAGAGAATAGAACAAGCCACTAGATTAAACATAGAGGCCAGGCAGTGGTGGCACACACCTTTATTCCCAGCACTTGGGAGGTAGAGATCTGTCTGGACCTCTGTGAGTTCAAAGCCACTCTGGACTACATGAGATTGACTCAGTCTAGGAGAGAAAACAGAGTCAGGCAGTGGTGCACACACCTTTAATCCCAGGAAGTGATGGCTGGGCAGAGAAAGGTATATAAGGCGTGAGGAGACAGGAAATAAAGACTTTTCGGCTGAGGAACACCTTTCAGCTAGGGGCCTTTTGGCTAGAGACCCTTTTTAGGCTGATGAGTTAGTGAGGTAAGAGGTGGTGGCTGTGGCTTGTTCCTTCTGATCTTCAGGGAAAGTTTATTAGGGGTACACAATATATCACCACAGGTCCCAGCTGCAAGTTGGACCTTAACATGTAGATGCTGATGAGGAAAACTCAGGGCATGAATTCCATCTTCACTTTCTCTTTCAGCCCCAGGAGAGGAAATTATCTTGAGTTACTTAATTCTTACAGGGTCTACCTGCTGGCTTGGTATAAAAGGATGCCATCCATCCATCCATCAGTCTATCCATCCTTCCACCTGTCAATCTGTCCTTGCTTCCTTTCATTCAGTAAGCAGAATATTGATTAAGTATAAAACACCACTCTGTGAAGAATATGGGCATTGTTTATCCTTTAACTCAGGGACCCAGGCAAGGGCCAACAGCCCAGAAGCAGAAGCTGGGTAATGGCAGAGACTTGAGGGTAACTTTTTCCTGGGGCACTCCAAAGAAACTGGACTATATATGGGAGGAGGAAATTCAGATGTCATCTTTTGGGCTACCAAAGAGGGATTGTTCCCTAGCAATTTTACGGAGCATGGCAACTCCTCAAACCATAGGAGATTCGTAGAGAAAGTCAAAGACTCAGACCGTGTTCCACCTGGGCCCATACCTTGTGTGCTCCCCCCACCTCTGAGGGTGATGTCTCAACCCCTCCTATCACAATATAAGGATATTAACGTGTTTACTGTATGTCAGGCTCCAGACCAAGTGTACTCCTTACATGTTCTTATTTGCCTCTCAAAACAAACTTCTAAAGCAAATGATTTCTTCTTTTGTATGTGAGAAAACTACTTCATGTGTGAGAAAACTGAGGACAGAGTCATGAAGCAACTTTAGTAAGGTTGGGAAGGCTAGGACTCTGGCAGAGTGAGATCCAGCCAGGAAGTGTGCGCTGCTCGGTCATGAAGATTGGAGTTCCGATCCCTATAGCCACATTGGCTGGCTCATGAACACCTATAACTCCATCTCCATAGGATTCCACATCCTTTTCTAGTCTCCATGGGTACCTGTACGTGCATGTGCATGTATACATGTGCACAGACACATACACACATAAATAAATTCACATCAATCTTAAAGCATAAAGGTCCATAGCTATGATTTTTTTTCCACCCCAAAGAATTAGGAAAGTTAAGAGAGAACCCTTGCCCAAGGCCACACAGCTTAATGTGACCATATCAGAATTCCATCTAGGTTTGCTCACTCCACTCCAGAGCCTGTGCTCCTGACTGCACAGGTCGGGTACCCAATGAGGAAACTCAAGTTTAGAGAACATAAATCAACCCAAGGTCACACAGCAAGAGCCTGTGAACAGTCAGGCCGAGGCTCGTATTTAATATTGGCTCTTAAGCTTTCTATAATGGTTCCCATCCCATCCCACCCCACTGGGCCAGGCAATCAGTACAATCAGAATCAGGAGGACCTTTGGGACCCAAGAGAGACTTGAAACTAAGTAGCTTCTGTTTTGGTGGAGAGGGTATGGTGAGTGGCCCTGTCTCAGCCCTGACTATGAATATCAGCAGTTCTCCAGATCCAGTTGGTCCCTTTGACCTTGCACATCCTGAAGAGGATGCAGGCAGGTGGAGAAGAGTTGCCCAAGTCAGGGGAGACCAAGGTTGTACCCGGGCCCAGTCAGTCTTTCCCCCAGCGCATCGGACTTCCTGTGAGTGAATGGGTTTGATGATACCCGCTGCTTGCTCAGCTGTTGTAAGTGGGCACTAGAGAGCTCTGCAGTCCAGATCCCAAAGGGTGGGGGAGGGAAAGGCAGAGTAGCTGAGTGAGAGATCACTGGCCTGGGAGTCTGATCTCCAGGGCTGAACTTCCACTCTGTCCTGTTGAGTCATCTGAATCCACTAAACCTCAGTTAATGAGAGGAAAAGATGGAAAATCCAATTTGTGAGAATTACGTATTCCTAACAAGAAAATAGTAATTACTCAAAAGGGTCTTCTCTCCCTCTCTCTCTCTCTCTCTCCCCTTCCCTCCTTCTCTCTCTCCCTCTCTTCCCTCCTTTCCTTTTTTCTTTCTTTCTTTTTTCTTTTTTTGTTTTGTTTTGTTTTGTTTTGAGACATGGTCTGTCTATGTAGCCCTGGCTGTCCTGGAACTCACTATGTAGATCAGCCTCACTTCGAACTCACAGAGATCCTCCTGCCTCTGCCTCCCCAGTGCTGGAATTAAAAGCTTGTGCCACCATACCCAGCCTTCTTTTTCTTCTTGAAGTGTTTATTTTTCAGATTTATTGAGGTATAATTGGCAAATAGGAGTTTTACAGTGCTGACTTGTACAATCTTTTTTTTTTTTTTTTTTTAAATGGGCTTGAACACAGCATCTCACAGATACATTGACTGGAGTTTCTGTGCACATCACCACATCTCCAGAAATTATTCACCATGTACATCTGAAACTTACTTTCTTTTGGCCAACATTTTCTCATTTTTTCCAACTTCTAGCCCTTTCCAACTACTACTATGCCTCCATGGGTGATTGTATTAATTGCACACACGTGACACCACTCAAGCCCTTGTCTTTCTGTATCTGGCTTATTTCATTTAGCACAGTGTCCTCTGGATTCATCCATGTTGCCACATCAGGATTTCCTTCTGCCTAAAGCCTGAAGAATAGTCTGTTGCATATGAGACACCATTTTTGTATGAATTTGTGTGATGTGTGTGTCCATGTGGAGACCAGATATTGACATCCTTTTCTATTGTTTTCCATCTTTTTTTTTTTTTGAGACAGGATCTCTCATTGAACATGGAGGACAGCAGTTGGCTAGAGGGTAGACTAGCTAACTAACAAGCCTCAGGGATCCTCCTGTCTCTGCCCTCTCAGCTCTGGGGTTACAGGCGCACACCTCCCCTCCTGGACTTCTCCGTGAGTGCTGAACTCAGTCCTCACCCTTGCACAGCCAACACTTTAGCCACCGAGCCATTTCCCCAGCCCTGGCCACCATTGTTTTGGATACTAGATTTCTAAAATGTATTCGCCCAGGACAGACACTTAGGGTGTTTCCATATCTTGGCTATTGTGAATAATTCTGTATTAGAGAGAAGTGCAACAGCATTATCAAGATCCTGATCCTGTTTCCGCTGAAAACACACTCAGAAGACTGCAGGGTCATATCACTGCATTGCTTTTGTTTTCTGAGGGGCCTTACCCTGTTATCCATGATGGTGGACCCACTCACCTTCTCAGCAACAGTGCACAAGGGTTCCCATCTCTCTCTGTCATCACCAACTCTTGTTAGCCTTCATCTTTCTGTGAGAGCTATTTTAACAGGTATCAGGTGTGGGCTGATACAGGGTCTGTGGTTTCAGTTTACTTTCGTTGTGTGTGGTGCTGAAGGTGGAAAGCAGGGCCTCCCATAGGTCACTCAAACACTCTACCACCGAGCCACACCCCTCAGTCAGGTCTTTACTTGGAAATGTTTGTGGAAACTGAAAGTTTACCTGGAAATGGGCTGTGTTTACACCTTTTCTGCTTGAGGCAAGGAGGAAACAGTTTCCCATTTCTGACTTTCTTGCCATTTACAGCAAAGCAGGCAAGACTCTAAAACTCAACCCCACAATAAGAAACACAGCAGAGCCTGTATTCTGAGTGTGGCGGACAGTTTATTTTTCCCACACTCTCCCTCCTCTCTCCCGGAGGTGACCCATGGCAACGAGCCTCAGGAGAGCCTCATTCTTCCATCTTCTGTGGGAGAAAAGAAATTGTACACAGGAAATGAGTCAAACTCCATGGGAGGTTCAGCATCCCTCCCCTTCAAGGGGAGCAGATGCAAAGTGGGGAATTTCAGAAAAATGGCATTAAGGAATGGCCTTGTCTCACTTTGTGTTGACAAAGGAACCAGTTAAGCTACTGGGAACAAGACAAGTCACCTCAAAAGCAGGGGCTTGCTAGATTGCATCTCAACCAATAGGGAGAGAGGGAGATGACATGCCTGTCCTTTGTGCTTCTAGCCAGAGCCTGATACATTGGAGTCTATACTAAAAAAGCATGTGAGGGTGTATGACCAGTGGCAAGGATGAAGACACCAAAAGGCATCCTCCAGGCTCTCCTTGGTCTGTTGGTCCTTCAGTATGAAGAACCTGTTGGAAAGACACCATCCTTGGGTATCTGCTCTTACCTGGCCTCCCACATCACGGCTCTTGGCCCTTAGCTTGTTGACTTGAGACTCTGCAATGTCTGCCCTCTCCTCAGCCTCCTCCAGCTCATGCTGGACCCTCCGGCACCTGGACAGCTGTGTGTTGGCTTGCTCCTCCTGCATGGAAAGAAGACAGAAGCTACACAGTTATGGAACCTCTCTGTGATTCTGAGGCTCTGAGGAGTTGGGATAACCAGGAAAATGTGAGCCTTATATCCACTGACAGCAGTGAGGGAAGATGAGCTGAGTTCTCTTGAGAATGTTGAAAGGTGTCCTGCCCACGGCTAGGGTGGTATGCTAACTAGGGGCTCCTTGCAAGCTCTTCTTGCTCTTCTCCCAAGGATCATCACATATCTCCCTGAATTCCCTCTCAATAATAGCTCTCCCAAACAACTCCTATACAACCCAGAGATGACCCAGGTCCAGAGTTCTCTCAAGGCATCTGAAGGTATCAGACCAATGGTCCATGCAAGTCCCTTTTGTTTATGCTTTTGATAATTGCCATGCATCTGGGACAGACTATTATATGGTTCTGTATAGTCTTGCGGAGACTGTACTAATCTGATGTGCACAACCCCCCTACTTTCGACTGGTTCCAGTATTCTTCTTCAAGGTAACTAACCAGGCTCCTGAGCAGGGAAGAAAGGGGGCAAAGGGAAGAGGCCATATACAAGTCATTTCTTCCTTCAGCCATTGGTCTTGAAAGATGCTCTGCAAGCAAGAATATGGCCCCAAAGCTAAGAGAGTGCAAGAAAGGCTCTGTTCTAGAGGACCCTTTACTTTGGAGCGCTAATTACATATTAGCTATAGTATCTGAGAAATCTTTGAAGGCAACAAGTTTAACTTTATTAGACTGATTTTTTTCATTATATTTTTAAAGACTGTATCTCCATGTAGTGCAGACTGACCTCAGACTTGCAACCTTCCTGTTCTATTTTTGGAGTACTAGAGATCACAGGCCAGTGTCAATACCCTGTATAACTTATTTTCTATGAAGAAAGGGCTACTTCCTATCTTGGCCCAGCATTTTGCTATTTGTCGCCCTCAGACCCAAAAGCCCCTAGAAGACATCTTTCAAAGCACTGGTTTGGGCCCATCTACTATCTTTCCTGTTGATTTTACCTCTTTGATCAGGAGGCAGTTAAACAGGGAAGGAAAAGGGTGTGGGGGTGTTGCTATAGAAGTCTGGGGGTGGGGGACCAGGAGAGTAGAGTGTGGTAGGATGACAAATATCAGGACGAGGTGTTTCAGGGCAGGAAGACAAGAGGGCAGGAGCCGGTGCTGGTAGTGGTCTGGTCTGGTCGGGGAGATTTGGGATGATGCAAGGCCAGCAGAGTGAACTAAGATGCTCTGGGTAGATAGAATGAAGCAGCGTGGAGTGGGATAAAGAGATGTAGGTTGGTGATGGAGGTGGCTGGGAGAAATTGGGGAGCTATGAGGGCACAGGAAGTTAGGAGGCAGAAGATTCAGCAAACACAGACCAAGGGAGCATGTAGGGTCGGTGTTTCTGTGTGTGACCTGGGGCTCTCTGAATGACTCTGATCAGGCACTGGTTCCCACTGAGGCTTCACGAGGACCCCGGGGTGGGCGACAAGATGCACAGGGGCCTCCAGTACTCACAGCCTCCTCTGCCTGCCTCTTGTAGGACTTCACTTTGGCCTGCAGCTTGTCCACCAGGTCCTGGAGGCGGAGGATGTTCTTGCGGTCCTCCTCGGCCTGCAAACAGAACATCCATAGCTGAGACCTACAGCCCCTGACTCCTTTTGCTGGGGTCTGCTCCACATAGCCGTGCTGGAGGGTTTGCAGCTTGCTACCTGGTAAGTCATCTCTTTGACTTTGCGTTCATATTTGTGGGCCCCCTTCAGAGCTTCGGCCCCTCTCTTCTGCTCAGCATCCAGCTCACTTTCCAACTCCCGCACCTGTGTGGGGTAAAGAGCGTACACAATGAGGTCAAGGCCACTAGCATTCTCTAGCAGACTCACATGCTAGTCATCCCAAAGTGACCTCAAGACCTTGCTGTGTTTTACAGAGGCATCTCCTCCCAGGCCCAGTCTATGTCATAGCTTTGTACAAATTATAGCAATTTGCCCTCTTGGGGTAGAGGCAGCTGCTGATGCATAGCACTTGGCTCCTGGGTCAGGCTTGGCAAAGAGGCCCCTTCCTCTGGGGCTGTGTACTTTGACAAGGGCACCACAGGCTGGGAGTCTGCCCTGTTTGTCCTCATAGGCAAAACCTGCTGGACTCTACGGATGTCTTGATTCTAATTAGGCAAGACAGTAGACACGGGCAGACCAAGGTATATCCAAACCTAAGGCCATTTGACAGATCTGAAACAGGTCAGTTGCTATCAATGAACATGGCTGCCATCAGTGCTGCCCAGTCCACCTCAAAGGTGGGTGGAATGAGATAAAGTATGGGAAAGCGGGTAAAGAATCATCTCAATGCCGTAGTTTTCTTGAGGGAAGAGAGAAGTCACTGAGATGGCAGACCATCAACTGTGGTACCCATACCACAAATGCCACAACCAGAGAGATCCAACCAAGCACCTGGCCCTCTCCCTGGGGACTCCAGCAGCATCAGAAAGAGAACACAGCTCATGCTAGGAGACTCATTCCATCAACTTTGAAAGCTCCCAGGGGAGCAGGCTTCCTTTGAACTCTATTTCCAATGGAGTCCCATCTTCTTTCATCAGGTCTTATAACAAATCTCCCCACCCCTAGGCTTGCTCTCCAGGCCTCTGTAAGCTTTATCAGATGTGGGCAGCTGGGGTCAGATGATAGTTAAAGTGGCTGACTGTGCAGGTTGAGGTGACCGCCGGCTCCTGGCCAAGCTAGGAAAAACCAGAAGGTATCATGCGACTTGGTCCTTTCCTTCTGGAAGGGGTCCATGAGAAGGATGGGCTTATGCTCCTTTTTATGCATGGGAAAGGAAGGGAAGAATTTTTTATTTAGAGCAGGGAGGCAAAAATAAAAACCTTTGCATATTTAAAAGGAACCATGTGCCTAGCGACCATGTTCTAGGGAGACTTGAATAAAGAACAATTGTACTGGGGGCTTCCTGTTGGGAAAATTCTCTCCTCTTCCCTCCTCCTCCTCCTCACTCCTGCCCACTCTTCCATTTTTCTCTCTTCCTGGGACAAAAGAGATATTCTAATAACCTCCTCCATGCAGCCCTTCACTGAAATGTCAATTGTTCATGCAGCCCATCGCAAAAATGATTGAAATAATCCAACACAGATCTGAAGGGAAAAATCAAGAGGCCGAGGAAACAAAGCACAGATCAGCAAAGGAAATGAGTGACTGTGAAATACGCCCCGGGAGTGAGTATGGGACTCCTGGCACCGGGCATATGAAGTGTCTCTGGTGTATTAATTTGGAGGAAGAAGCACCAATCAAGCTCCTTTGGGGATGGGGCGGGATGCGCCCTAAAACTGCAGCTGCATATAGAGATTAGAAAAGCTGGAAAGAGGATAACCTGAGAGCAGGAGACAGGGGACCAGAGGCGTTATACAGAAGGAGCACTGCTAATCAAAGCGAAGCCTGGTCTGAGAGAGAAACCATGCCAAAGTGTGGAGTTTCATGATCATAGAGCACTTCCCCTGTATATGTGTATAATTGTGAATCTACATGGGTAACAGGAAGTAAATAGTAAAAGATGTCATCTTTGCCAAGTGTGTTGGTGTATACTGTTAATCCCAGCACTTGGGAGACAGAAGCAGGTAGAGCTCTGTGAGTGAGAGGCTAGCCTGGTCTACATTGCTGGGGGATATCTTTCTGTATGCCGTGAATATATGTTGCTCCTATTGGTTAATAAATAAGTTGCTTTGGCCTATGGCAAGGCAGCTTAGAGGCAGGCAGGTAATCCAAGGAGAGAGACAGGAAAGAGAAAGGCAGAATGGAGGAGACACCAGACTGCCATCCTAGGAACAACATGCAATGGGATGCAGGTAAAGCCATGAAACATGTGGTGATACATAGATTAATAGTTTATGGGTTGAGTTAAACAATAAGAGCTAGCTAGCAGAAGCCTGCCATAGGCCATACAGTTTGTAAACAATATTAGGCCTCTGAATAATTATTTTATAAGTGGTTGTGGGACCCTGAAGCCAGGCGAGACTGGAGAAACCTTCTGGCTACACTACATAGTGAGTTCTATATGGTGAGAACCTATCGGTGTGTGTGTGTGTGGGGGGGGTGCTTCCCCACCACCTAAATCTAAATTTCTGGTTAGTGGATTCGGCCCAAGATGGCTGAAAAAGGTCACTTTGGAAAGCCAGTGCCTTCCCAAGTTACCCACCCTGGCCTCCAGTTTCTGGATCTGCTTCTTGCCACCCTTTAGCGCCAGCTGCTCAGCCTCGTCTAGACGGTGCTGCAGGTCCTTCACCGTCTGCTCCATGTTCTTCTTCATCCGCTCCAGGTGGGCGCTGGTGTCCTGCTCCTTCTTCAGCTCCTCCGCCATCATGGCGGCCTGGAGCAGTTCACAGAACACATCTGTGGGTTACCCACCCAGCATCACCCAGCACACAGAAAATGCCATAATCTTGTGCCTCCCCTCACAGTTATCATGCCCCACTTTGCCTCTCCAATGACCCTCTCTCCTGGCATCTCTCCAGGAAGCCATCACAGACTGGCTATGCTCAGAGGAGACGATACCTCCTTTGCCATGCTCTGGATCTGAAATCCCCCTTTCTCATCTCCCACTACCATCTCAGCAGAGAAAGATGCTCACATCAGTGATGGCCTTCTTGGCCTTCTCTTCTGCATTTCTAGACTCCTGGATGGAGTTTTCAACCTCTGCCTGGCACTGAGCCAAGTCAGCCTCTAGTTTTTTCTTGGTATTTATCAGGCTTGTGTTCTGCAAGAAAAATTAGATTTGAGGGTGAAGGTTTCATATGGGCACTTAAAACAATGGGAAGGGAGGGCAGTGGGTGGGGAGGGAAGTGAATCATAGTCATGTTCTGCTTCTTATTTTCCACATGAGTGGTCTGCTGGGTACAATATCATTCTTGACTGAACAGAAAGTTCTGAAACAGAGCCAAGAGCTGTACATCAGAAAATTGAGTAAATGATAAAGGGAGAATTTCAAACATTTGAGGATGGATAGATTTTTCAGTAAAAGGCATTGGAACAAGAGCATGATTGATAGACACATCTACGTAAAATGAAAAATATTTCTACTAATTAAAATATGCCATGCATGGAATTGAAATTGGAACGGTAATGACAAACCAGAAAACATTATCTATATATGAAAAACACTCCTGTCCTTATATAAATAAGATATGTTAATAAGAAAAAGGGGCAAGAAGTATGAATAGTTAAAACACATAAGAAATATGATGGATACCCAAGTGATGAAATGTTCTACCTCATCCTTAGTAAAAACTAATAATAATAGTAATAAACCAATGACATATGTTTCAACAATAAAGTTGGTGAAGATTTAACAGCTAGGGTCTTTTGGAATTTGTGGTAGAGTCCTCACATGATAATAAATGGGAATAAAACTTGAGACAGCCTTGTTAAGTAGAAATTTACATGTGTTATATACAAATGTCTTTACTGTTTTGGCCCTGAATTTATTTTCTTCCAGATATATTGACAATAGTAATCACAGAGGAATGCAAAAATTTAGTTATGACAATATTAATTAGCCTTTATAATCATAAAGAATTTTATTGGTAACAATCTAAAATAGCCAGCCATAGAGGACTGAGTGCAGTCATAATATTCAACTTTCATAGCCTGCCTTTTTTTTTTCTTGCTGTTGAAACCCACAGCATTGAAAACTATTTAAAGAGTTAGAAACACATTCTGGACACATTGTTAAATGAAAGTTAGAAGCTGCAAAACATTGGCCAAAGTTTTACAAAAGTGTAATATTTATATAATTTACAAAGACCCAACAATGAGAGAACATAACATGTTAACCATTTGATTGATTTTTTTCTTCTATGTGCTTGCTTATGATTTATATGCTTTAGATCAAATATCTTTAAAATTATTGTAAAATTAATAAAAATATGGTTTTTTTTGGGGGGGGGGGAATTTCAATATCCTAAGATTTCAGCTTAAATTATGGGTTGAACATTCACTCTTATTTGAACTTCTGAAATTTAGATAAGATCCAAAATCCAAAACATTGAGTAGCAACATGATAGCCTAAGAGCAAAATTCTACATCCACCTCACACAATGAGCCACAGTCAAAATCATCTCCAGGGTATGTGGATAAAGAAAGGAGTTTCAGATTTAGGCTTGTATTCAACCCCAGTATCTCTCACTACGTATGTGCAAATATTCACACATGCACATCTTCCGGAATAGAAAACACTTCTGGCTCCAAGTCAATACCTGCCATGTGTATTTTGGATAAGGGGTTTTAAACCCTCATTTCCTCTGTGAATCCTCCCTACCTCCTTGCTCCAATCCTACTGCATGCAGCCTGCAAGCTCTTTCATATTTATTTCTGGTCAAACAGATCTCAGAGCTCTCTCAATCAGAGACAACGCTTTCCTGGCTTGGTCTTGACTGCTAGTCGGGGAGAAATGGGAAGTTCCCCTTGCCAAGGCACTTGGGGTGCTCTGTGCCCCAGGTGGATCATGAGGTGGGAGATGGAGGAGGAGTTATCTGTGGAGAGGACGCACCTGGCAGAGCCACTGCCCTACTGCCCAGGGTGGACTGGAGTTGAGGAGAGACAGCATACCTGGGAGTGTAGCAGCTGGACACGGTCGCTGGAGTCCAGCAGCTCCTGCTCCGACAGCCTGCGGGTCCGCTCAGTCTGTTCCAGGGCCACCTTCATCTCCTCTAGCTCCTCCT